ACCTCCTTACTGAAGTGAAAGTGTTGACTGGTGTCACTATCTCGTGAACGCGCCGGCGGATCTCCACCAAATTCGGGGGATCCCTTCAGCTCAAGGAGCCCTCTTGAACGCCACCCTCCGCGCGTCGGTAGCCCCCGGGATCACTTGATCGTCGGCGCCGGACCGCGAATTTAACCACCCGTAACTCCCGAACCCCGGGGGCTATCGACGCGGGGGTGGTCTCATTCGAAAGCGGGCCTCTAGACGTACACTCGATTCGCGTTCGAGAGGGTTCCTCGAGCTGAAGGGATCCCCCGAATTTGATGCGGATTCGCCGCGCCATTACAGAGATATGGCCGTTCAAAGTTTCAATGGTTTTCCATAGACTTAAGCTTCAAAAGCGATCCAGGTCGCCAGTAGCAAACAATGGACAAACTAAGTAATTACACCATTTCAAGCATTTTATCTGCGTTATATGTTCTGTAAAAAAATTTTCATATCGGTGGCACATTTGCTGATACCGATATATATATAACAAGCTCATATCGGAAAAACGATATATCGGTCGGGCTCTAATTCTGACAGCGCTGCACGAACTGTCTGTTTGTTAACCAGGGTTCAAAGTCCAAAGCGCGAGGGAAATCTGCACTGAAACAGTGTTACTCGTCAGTTGCTCAGTAACATTTTTATGAATATTTACAAGGCATGTGACAATGCAATACGTGCAACATATTCGTAATGAGGCTCATTTATAAATCTGCTGTTGTCAACAAAAAGAAGAATTGAGGTCTTCCTGCACGCGCAGGAAAAATAAAAGTTGAGAAAAAGCAAGAACTCCATCAACATTTGTAAACATTAGTATTGTAATTTTACTGATGTTCTGTAAAATAAAATAAAAAGTAAGACAATTATAATTACAACAGCTCTATTAATACATTTATTATAACATTCACACATAAGTGTTCATATTGGGATCTGTAATATTTTCTAATGTTTTAAAAGAAGTTTCTTCTGCTCAGCAAGGCTGCTTTCATTTAAAAAAAAAAATACATGCCTGATTCAAGAAGGGGGTCTGATGGCCAAAAAATATTATTTTACTAACTTATTAATTTTAAGTTAAATTGTGCTTTGTTAGTATAATGTCTGCTAGAATGTTAAAAAATGTTCAGTGTTAAATATTTTTAAATTATTGTTTTGTAATTGATTTTTTCTTTGAAAAGCAAGACAAAATAGTAAAAAGCACATTTTGGCTATTTAATTTATGCAATGGTGAAAAAAATTGGCAAAATACATGGAGGAAAAAAACTAGAAAAACCGTGTTCGGTATTCGGCCCAGTGTTTCATTTTGTTCGGTTTCGGCCAAGAATTTTCATTTCGGTGCATCCCTAAAAACAATATCTTAACATGTAATTTATTTCTGTGATGCAAAGCTGAATTTTTAGCATCATTACTCAGAAATCATTCTCATATGCTGATTTGATGCTCAGGAAAAATTTATTATTATTAATGTTGAAAACAGCTGTGCACCATGATGCATTTTTTTAGGATTCTTTGATGAATAGAAACAGCATTTATTGGGAAAAAATAAAATAAAAATTGTAACAAAATAAATGTCTTTACTGTCACTTTTGATCAATTTAATGCATCCTTGCTGAATGTAAGTATTAATTTCCATTAAAAAAATCTTACTGACTTATGGGATATTTACAGTACATCTGATATTTTAACAAACACCATGAATAAAGGCGATTTTAAGGCCCACTTTAACATGTAATCAAAAATCTATAGAGAGAGAGTGTGAGTAAATTTTGAGTAGGATTTTGATTGAATTTTCACGAATCAGTTCTGGATTATTCTAAATGAATGAACAAAGACAATGACTGAACAGTAGGGTTGGGTACCTTTTTTCGGTACTTTGCTCTCTGTGTAATTACAAAAACATTTATTTCAGTGAAAAAATAATTCCAGAAGTCTCAATTTCAACAGTTTGAACAATAGGGCCCAACAAACTTTTTCTTTCTTTATTTTTTTTCTCCAGAAATTCTTGTTTTAATTTTTCTGAAAATCAAATGAAGGCATTAAACATTTATTTTAAATCAAATGAAAATTAAACCCTTTTATTTTTTGGCAAACAAACTGAGGTTTACTGTTGAAATTAATACATGGAAGAAAAATTGTGTGAATATTCCTTTAAAACATTTTATAATAGGTTAATAATTGTATTATTTTTTTCTACAATTAAGTGATTAATCTAGTTGTAATATTTATTTTTATAATTTAATTGTTTTGTGTGAATATTCCTTTAAAACATTTTTTAATAGGCTAATAATTGTATTACTTCTTTCTACAATTAAGTGATTAATCTGGTTGTAATATTTATTTTTATCATTTAATAGTTTTATTTAAATTTGATATAAAATTGAATATTTAAAGATGTACATTATACTGTACAAAAGTAATACAAGAGTAATATATTTCTGTTACATGTTAAACCGTACTTTTATTTTGACAGGTTGCCATGAAGTTTCTGTGTGTATACAGTACGATGATGCTTGTTTTCTCAAATGAAATGGTAAAATTCTCGCGAAGTGACTCACAGCAGCTCTGGAGATTAAGTTTTTGTGTTCATGCCGTCATATAGTGAGACGCAGAGGCCGAAAATCACAGCGAGCGTCACGCATGCTTCAGTAGTAAACAAAACCGCATTTCCGCCATTCATACATACAGAGGCAAGCGGAACATGCAGGATTCATATTTAAACCGTCTTTTTGAATTTTAATATTCACAGATACTAGTTGCAGTGGCAGTGGCTACTTTTGATTTATTCATCCAAAATTGACGAATTCCGTGGCATTGAACACAGTTCATTCATCTGATCACATGAAAATGTTGACAGAAGCTCCTGTTTGGCATTTTACCAGGTTTCAGTTTTTTTTTTAAATAATAAATATTAAACTTGCTATTATAAATTAATTTATTGGTTTTAAAAATGTATAAATAAAAATATTTTCTTCGTCTTAATTTTTTCCCCCTAGTTATTGCAAACAACTATTCTAGTGCAGGTTATTCCCAAAAAAAAAAAAAAAAAATATTTTAATCAAAATAATCAAAATGTAGTATCTTGCTCTTCCTGTGAATCTACTTTCCTTTTCTGTGGATGTCCCTTAGGCTAAATAGCCTGTTTCACTAGGAAATGTGTCACATTACAGAAGTACAAAGGTTGCTAATGGAGATCCAAATAAACTTTATGGATTAAAAAGGTAAAAACAAGCATACAGACCTGAGGCACCTGCTCGATGTCTCGTAGAAAGATCTGTTGGTTTCGGGAAACGGAAGTGGTGCGGTGATAGTCCACCAGCTCGTTGAGAGAGTTAAACTTCACGACCCACAGGAAGTACTTTCCAGCCCCATCACGCAGCACTTTGAAGTGCTGTACATCATTGCCAAACCTTCAACAACAACAAAAAAAAGACTATAATATGAACAAACACAACACTTTGTAACCTGCATGACAACTTCAAGTTTTATTTAATACTAAAGAGTGACATAATGCACTCCCCTCCTGTGCCATGATCCATAAATAAAATGTTGCAGACTGGGCAGGCAGGTTACACAAGTGAATGGAGATCAGAGCGCATATTAATACATGCATGCAAACACAGACGAGATGGACAAGATAGACGGGAAGAAATGTGTGATTGCCATGATGTCTATCTGAGAACTGAAAGTGACAAGAACAGAGGTGATTCACACGAGACGCATGATGACATTCAGATTTGTATCTGCATTACTGTACAGAAGTCTAAGGTCAGTAAGATTTAAAGTTTTTGTTCACCAAAGCTGCATTTATTTGATCAAAAATACAGTAAAAACAGTAATATCCTAAAATATTAATACAATAAAAAAAAAAAACATTTTCTATCTTAATATACTTTAAGATGTAATTTATTATTTATAAATACCATAAATTAAATTTTTTTCCAAAAAGTATAATTAAAAAAAAATTAAATTTTCAGCATCATTACTCCAGTCTTCAGTGTCACATGATCCTTCAGAAATCAGTCTGATATGTTGATTTACTGCTCAAGACATTTCTTATTAGAAGGGTTGAAAACCGTTGTGCTGCATTTACTTGAAACATTTGTCACATTGTAAATGTATTTACAGTCACTTTTGATCAATTTAATTTTATTTGATCAAAAATACAGTAAAAACAGTAATATCCTAAAATATTAATACAATAAAAAAAAAAACATTTTCTATCTTAATATACTTTAAGATGTAATTTATTATTTATAAATACCATAAATTAAATTTTTTTCCAAAAAGTATAATTTAAAAAAAATTAAATTTTCAGCATCATTACTCCAGTCTTCAGTGTCACATGATCCTTCAGAAATCAGTCTAATATGTTGATTTACTGCTCAAGACATTTCTTATTAGAAGGGTTGAAAACCGTTGTGCTGCATTTACTTGAAACATTTGTCACATTGTAAATGTATTTACAGTCACTTTTGATCAATTTAATGCGTCCTTGCTGAATAAAAGAAAAAAAATGGTACTGACCTCAACATTTTGAACTTTAGTCTACATTAAAACATTGTACATTAAAATATATATAGAAAGAATCATAATAAAAAATCTACAAAAAAAACAAATCCTAATTTTTTATTACTTTTTAAATTTTTTAAAAGATTTTGAACAGTAGTGTGCATGCCTTACTTTCATGAGAAGCTTTGCATATAGGGCACTTAAAATGAGGATAAAAAAAATAGTGAAAAAGCAGGATATGTACATAGTAAAAAGAGAAACAGACAGACACAGCCTGACAGACAGACCGCCTGACAGCCAGACAGCCAGCCATACATACATACATACATTAGGCCTGTCACGATAACAACTTTTTGTTGTGTGATATATTGCGCCAGAAATAATTGCGATAAGCGATATTATTGTCATTTTAAATACCATTTTATGCCACTGAATATATAATCATAATGTAACAGCATAATAATGCAAGTAGGCCTACACACTTCCAAATGACAACAAACTTTTAATTTTTAAGAATATTTAGATCATGGAAATTAAATATCAAAATATTAGATACCTTAAAAAAACTTGAATAAATAGTAAATAAAAAAATGCACAAAGAACTTGTATGGAGATTTTTCCATC